GGGGGGGGTGAATCGGGAGTGAGGCTTCCGATCAAGCTGGACCGAGGCGAGGCAGGGCTGTCGGGCGTCCGAGGCGAGCATGAAGGAGGCCCTGAACGCTCGCCGTAATTGCCGTCGCCGTCGCCGTCGCCGTCGGCGTTGGCGTCGCCGTTGGCGTCATTGTCGGCGTCACGTTGGCAAGCGCCATTGCCGTGGGTGTGGGTGTGACTGAGGCTGTGCGCGTCGACGTCAACGTCAACGTCGACGTCGACGTCGGCGTTGAAGGAGGATAATTCCGGGGCATCGAGGCCGCCACGAGGAGGAGGGGGAGGCGAGTAATCCTGGGCGAGTGAGGAGAGGGGCTGTCTCGAGAGAGCGACTGTTTTGCTCGAGCCTGCAGCGAGTGAACGGGGCTTGGCTCGAGGCCCGCCTACCGAGCTGGGCTACGACAACCGGTCGACATGTCGTCAACGAGAACCAGCTCGAGGTGGGCTTGGCGCCGAGACACACAGCACCGCATCGTGTAACCACGCGCAGCCGCGACAATTGAGTGCGATCGATCAGCCCCGGCGGACAGCAGGTCTTCTTATGCGCCCCAGCAACGGTGAAAGCGACTTCTGACGGGACGGCATGCCGGCATGCCGTCAGACAGACAGACAGACAGACAGACAGACGGATGAACGGACAGACGGAGAGGATGACTGTCCGACGAATGGGGCGTACGCGAGTGGGCCGGCGAGGGGTACAGGAGGCCAAGTTGTCGGAAGGGGGTACCGGGTCGGAGGGTCTATAGACGGTCGTCTTCTTCTGCCACAAGATGGTCAACTGCAGGTCTAGCAGGCAAAGAAGATGTACATTCTTTATGACAGTAGACAGCACATGCTTCTCGCAGACACACCGGCACACAGACGGACAGACGGACAGACAGGTGGACGGAGTGTGAAGCAGGTTGGGCGAGAGAGGGAGAAATGGGCGAGACGCGAGAGGTTATCGAGGCCTCGGAGAAAGAGGTCTCTGCCGCTCGCTCGACCGACCGACCGACCGACCGACCGACCGACCGACCGACCGGAACCGAGCCAGGTTCGGGCCAAACTTGGGCGAGGCTTGGGCGAGGCTGGGCTCCAGCGCGTCCTTGGCTGTCTGGTGGAGGGCGAGTTGTCGGTGTGCCACACTTCCATTTGCCAATACTCGCACGGACGGCGATGGCAAAGGCGAGACGCGACAGAGGCTCCGGGGCAACGAGAAGCGGTGACGCAATGAGCCGGCCAGCAGAGACAAATCAAGCCCAGGTCAGACGTGAAGAGCGAAGCAACAAGGACGAAAAGATGAACGGCGAAAGGCGAAAGGCAAATGTCGAAAAGGCGACGATGAGGCAGGGCGAATGGGCAACTTTTGCAAGAAGTTGCCAGATGGAGATAGATAGATAGATAAATAAATAGATAGATAGATAGATAGATAGATAGATAGATAAGTAGGTGGATATATATATATATATATAGATTGATTGATAGATTGATAGACGAGCAGATAGATAGATAGATAGATAGATAGATAGATAGATAGATAGATAGATAAAAGGGGAAATAAAGAAAAAGAGAGAGAGAGAGAGAGCTGGAAGGAAGAGGGAAGGACAGAGTTGTTCTGTGAGTTGGCTTGAGCTGAGCCAATCCGAGCGGGCGGGGCAGGAGCCATGCCTCGGCTCGCGTTCGTTCGGCCGGCCGGCGAGAGGCGGACATGCCCACGGGATTAGTTCGAGTCCATCTGAGGGGAAAGAGGGCGGCAGATGGGCGCATTGACAGGTCTCTGGTTCGAGGCCCGACGGGACGCCGAAGAGGCTTGAGAACAATCGAGCCTTGCATTCGGTCTGGACGGACTTTCGCGGCAAATGTGAGACGTGGCTGTAGCAACCGCTTTCCGTTCAGCCCCATCCACGAGATGATGGCCCCGACGGTGGGCGCACAATTGCCCTAGCGACGGAGCGACTCCTCGTCAAGACCGTGTCCACACTTGCAGTTGCCCAGGTTACGCATGTCGTGTCGGCTGAGAAGGGGTATAGGCGAATGATGGCCGCATTTTGCCGGAAATCTTGCTTGTATGGCTGAATTATCATCCATATCCTATTTATCATCATCATCATCATCATCATCATCAGAAGTAACAGCAGCGGCATCAACAGTTCTGGGTGCCAATAAGACCAAGATCAGATATACAATGCAAGGCATTTATTGTGGAATTTTCAATTAAGCAAACATGCATTTGCCATTATGATCTACGACTACTTATTTTCGTTATAAGTAGTTCGCAAGATGATGGTGATGATGATGATGATGATGATGATGATGAGGAGGAGGAGGAGGCAAAGTCGAAACGGCCGTACACTTCAGCCGAAATGAGATCATCTTTCGGGGCTTTGGCCAACCGAAATTCATATGCCGGAAATATGTAATATTCATTTTACTTCTGAATAGTATTTCAACCAATGTCGT